AGGGGGTGCTACATATTTTATACTAATAATTTCAAAAAAAATTAATTGAATATGTGATTGTGACAAATAGATGGAAACTAGAAGGACAATTTTGTCATAGTACAATAATTTTATTGGACCTCTCAAGGTCCAATTAGTTATCTCCAATTAGCCAAGATAAGCCTTGACAAAATTATTTTGGCGGGTCAACCGGGAAAATAAACCAAACATCAAACGAAACATTACTATTTAGTTAATTTGGCCTAATTTTGCCAACCAAATGGGAGCTTAGGGTCTTGTTATTTCCTTACTTTGTGCCTGACTTTTCTATACTCGTTATTTTCTATTTTTTTTTAACATTGTTTTCTCACTCTCCCTCTCCAGAATCCTATTGATGGCGGCGCTGGGCTGGTCTTACTTGCTACTTGTGTCTTCGTCTATCTCTAATCATTAAATATGGAAGGTATCTCAAAGGCTATGACCATAAATTTCCATCTCACTGAGGAAGAGAAGGAAGGAGTGACTATCAGCGTCAATACTGGTGAGGCTAGGGTTCAGCCCCAAACTTTTCAACTGGTTGGCAGATTAGTTTGCGCAAGGGAGATCTCGTCCCACTCGATCAAAGACAATGTCATACCGCATACGTCTTCTTAAGTCGGTGAAAAGATGGGATTTCCGACCCATAGGACCAAACAAATTCATAATTGTTTTTTATCACGTCCTTGATTATGAACACGCGAAGGGAGGTGGTTGCCCATGGTTGATGGATAAGAACGCCCTACTCTTTCAAGATCTGGCCCCAGATGCAGATCCCGCGATGTACGAAACACCTACGATGAGTATTTTGATCAGGATTCATAATCTGGGGCTACTCAAATACGATTTCCAAAGATAATACGGAAGTGGCTACTCAAATCGTCGGCAAGATCAGAGAATTTATCTCTCTAATGAACCCCCTAAGAAGATGGAACTTCAACTTATACGATCCTGACAAGCTCAAGGATGAAGAATTGGAAAAAGAGAAAGCGTGTGAATTTGATGAAGTTGTTCGCATTTGAAATGATACAAGTCAGTGCAACTCAGTTGCTTGAAGAGCCCATGATGTAGAATTGGAAGTAAATAAAGACAAGAATTCGCTACACAAGCCGAAGGGGGAAACTAAAAATAATACCAATTTTTTTTTCTCACTTTAATACCACAAAAAAAAAAAAAAAAAATAGACAATAAATAGGTAATGACATAAACACCCTTAATGAAAATCAATACCACAAAAATATTAAAAATCTCATTTTTCTTTATTCAATATCAAACACACAAAACCTCTCAAACCCCTCTCCTTCACAAACTCCTCAACCTTCGCCTTCTCCTTCTTCTTCTTCCTCACAACAAACCTTCCTAAAATATCTCAAAACTAAAGAAATCAAAACCTCACACGACTTGCAAAATTGAGTCAAATGGCGACAAAATGGTAGCTTACGAACAAGGAGAACCCACTAAAGTATGTATCCATATCTTTTTAGAGATTCAAAGTCGATTTCAAAGTTTTTGTTTTTTAAAATCTGCCTACAATTTTCGACACATATATGTCGAATGTTTTTTCAATTGTTGACTCCAACTTGCCGAAAAATATATTAAAAACAAAATTTGACATATACTTTTGGAAATTTGGAGAAATTTCGCATGTATGTGTCAATAACCAATATGGCTTAAAAAATATATATATATATATATATATATATATATATATATATATATATATATATATATATATATATATATGTGTGTGTGTGTGTGTGTGTGTGTGTGTGTGTGTGTGTGTGTGTGTGAATGTAACACCCCACCTTTCCAAAACTCGAAAACCCTAAAACCCGAAACTAATATTTCTAACTCGAGAATCCTTAGGTAATATTATTACGTGATATTAATTATGCATTACGTGAATTTAATTATGTGACTTACGCGAATAATTACGTGCGTTATTATGCGGTGATTTCATGGTATTTATTTTATGAAATTCGTGAGTAGATATATATATATATATATGTATGAATTATGTGATTTAATATCATTTTCGTAAATTGAAATTTTAGGAATTTCGTGAATTACGTGACTTATGTAAATTATATTGTGATTATATATACGTACATACATACACATACATACATGCATACATAATTACATGCATACGTATATACATTTTCATACGTACATATACATACATATATACTAATACTTGCATTCTATATTTGAGTATATATATATATATATATATATATATATATATATATATATATGTTTATATATATGTGTGTGTGTCCGAATTGTGTGTGTGTGTGTTGTTATGCAAGTTGTGTTATTTTAAATAAATAAATTAGTGATAATTATGCATGCCTTTACACTTGGCAAAATGCTAATCATTTTCACTAATCCTACACTCCACCCTACTTAGTAAGATGAACAGACACCCTTCATCTTTCTTCTTCCATCACCTCAACCCTTTACTTGTCTTCTCCTCCTCTCTCCACCGAAGCCATCACCACCACCATCGGCCTTCTCCTTCTTCCACCTCACCTCCAAATTTTCAAGAAAATCAAAAATAGAAATGAAGGTCCCCTATTTAAACCTTGCTATAGACTACTCCAAAAACACCATTAAAACTACTTGCCTCCTTACGGGAGAAAACAACTCAGCCCTCCTTGAAGCTCACACCATTTCATTCACAATCAAAGTAGCTTGGTTATATTTTGGTGCGTGAATCCTCTCTTCCTTCGGTTGTTTTCTTCTCTTCGATTTTAAGGTAAGAAATTCCGATTTCTTGCTGCAATTAAATGGCGTCAATAGTATTAAAATGGTTTTCAAAATTTTCTAAAAGATTGGGAGTGATTTCGAAAATTTAGGGCTTTTTGGGGAAAAATGGAAAAGTGTTTATTGTTCATTTCTTGTTCTTGCATGCATCATCTATGTTGGTAGTGGGTAGATACAACTTTTATTGGCCAAAAGAATTGAAAATTTCGGATTTCAAAAAGGGGTTTCAAGAAAAATGAATTTTTGAACTTTTATGGGGTTGCATGTGTAGATCTTCAAAAGTTTTGGGTAAAAGCTATAATTTTTGAGAAGTCAGTCCTAAATGTGTTTTCAAAACTGTTAACCAGCATTTATTGAACAAAAATTTCGGATTTAAAGGAGTTTTGTAAGAAAGAGTGATTTTTGAACTTCTAGTGGTCTTGCATGTATAGATCTAGAGATTTTGGGGTAAAATGTGTAATTTTCGAAATTTCTGCATAAAGTAACTTTTCAACTTCGTTTTCTGCATCTAATAGAGTAAAATTTCAGATTGTTAGGGGTTTTTCATGAAATAGTGGATTTTGAACTTTTAGTGTGGTTGCATGTGCAAATCTTGAAACTTTTGGGTCAAAACTGCAATTTCCGAAAAATCTCTCATTTCTAGAGCTGAATCTGTTTTTCCAGCAAGTATTAAATGGGGAAAAGTTTTCTTTACAAAGTTTTCAACGTAATCAAGGTCACATGAGAGTTTTGGATATTTTAAAAGAAAAATGGAATTTTCGAGTTTTTAATTTCATGAAAATTCGAAACTTTGTGAAAATTTAAAATAATTTCAGAAATTAGAATTTGGATCAGTTAGGAGTTCTAGGATTTAATTTGGGAATTTTTGGAATTAGTTTGCTATTATTTCGAAATTAGGACAATTTGCATGTCATTTATTATGTTTTGTACTTCTATTTTAATGTCTTTGATTTAATACCTATGAATGATGAGAGTTGAGACTTTATACCTTAAATGGCTCCATGGATGTGTTTATTACTGCTGCAATTTATTATTACCTAGATGTGGTAATAGGTTCATTTAATGAAAGGTGAAAAAGGGGTGCTTGCTTTGCAAGCATGGTTTAATATTAAATGGTGATGTTTAATGTGTTGGCTGCATGTGTGTGTGCTGAATATGTGTGAGTGTGTGTGCTGATTGTGCATGTGGTGTGTGCCGTGTGTGGTTGTGTGTTTATGTGTGTGAATTTGGGGATTTTTGCCCAAATTATAAATATGTGGTAAATTGTGATATTTGTGTGATTTTGTGGCACTTGATTGATATTTGTGATGTTATGTGTGGGTCATAAGCATGATTTCGAAAAGTTGCATTAAATGGTTTTTAAATTGAAAGATTAATGGAATATCGGGTAATAAACAACTCGGATATAGAGGGCCGGTATCCAACTAGGATGATGTGTGTTGTGGTTTGATTCCACTTAGTGAAAACGGGCTCGTAACAGGTTTATTGCTCAGGTACAGAAATTCATCTTTCACGGATCCGATAAAACGAAAAATGTGTTTTTCATGATTTTCATAAAATGGCATTTTAGTCATTTTGTATAAGTACGTGATTATGTGCGAATGATGTGTTTTCGTGAGTTATGTGATTTTACCGATTGTCTCGTGTTGTTGGAACGTGGGTAGGACTGGGTATTTAATATTACATATTAGGTATAACGTATTTTCAAAGTTCGATATCTACTCGGATTTCTTACTGATCTTTATAGCTCATATAGATGTCTTTTAATTGCAGTTAGTGGTGGGGTGCTACAGATACTCGTACGAACTTCACGGGTTTAGAGACTACTCGAGACGCGAAGCTCGGACCATCCGGTAAAGTATGTGTATTATTTTTTTATGTGTTTTACTTGCTTTATTTATTAGTTGTGAATTAATATAGAAATAATGTCGAGACGTATAACCCGAGGGAACCCGAGCACTTCCACCAATGAACCACAAGACCACAATCAATCTATCAATAATCTCTCAAACTTAATCCGTGAACAAGCCCAAAACCACCAACGCCAAATCGAACAACTCCTCCAACGTAACCAAACCCCGCCTCAAAATAACGCGCCTCAAGCTATATACGAACGATTCCTCAGAATGAACCCGTCCGAATTCCACGGTGGAACTGACCCCGCCATAGCCGAAGAATGGATCAAATCTCTCGAAGTCATATACGACTACATGCAAATGACCGACCGCGACCGCGTACATTGTGCCATATTCCTACTCCGAAACGAAGCTCGTCACTGGTGGGAAGGAATCAAAGAAGGAACAAACCTCGAAACTCTACCATGGAACGATTTCAAAGTCCAATTCTTCGAAAAGTATTTCTCGAAAGACGTGCGAGCCCACAAACTCAAAGAATTTCTCGAACTCCGCCAAGGCGACTTACCAATGATCGAATACATCCGTCGTTTCGAACGTGGCTGCCTCTACGCCCCATTCATCGCTCGAGACGCTGAGGAAAAGAAGAACCATTTCATTCGCGGCCTCCAACCCGAAATCCGTAGAGACATTCGTATGTCCGACGCCTCGACTTTCCGCCAACTCGTAGACAAAGCACTCATGGCTGCCCAAGACGAGGGAGAAATTCAAAACAAACGCCGACCGACACCAAATTTCCAACGCCCATGGAAAAAGAACAACTTTGGCAACCGCCCATTCCGAGGAAAAAGAACGCAGCCCATCCGCCAACCAACCGGACCACCGCCACCGCCGCCAAGGCCAACCTGCCCAAAGTGTGGAAAGAGTCACTCCGGAGAATGCATACAAGGAACGAGAAGTTGCTTCCGATGCCATCAACCCGGACACATGGTAAAGGACTGTCTGAAACCTCCACCGAACGTCCCCGGTCGAGTGTTTGCCATGACTCAAGAACAAATCGAGCAAGACCCGTCTATGATAGCAGGTATCATATTTATCCTCGAAGAACCCATATATGCTCTAATCGATTCCGGCTCTACTCATTATTTTATATCGAAAGACATAATTGCGCACTTAAATCTCGAACCGAATCGACTAAATTACGAATACCGAATTATCATTCCCTCTGGCGAAGAGATGCGCTCCAATCTAGCCACAATCAATTGTCCAATCCGAGTTCACACTTAACCCATGAATTTCGATTTAATCCTCTTACCGATCCAAAACTTCAAAGTTATACTAGGTATGGACTGGTTAACCAAATTCAAAGCCCAAATCGATTGTGCCTCAAAAACGGTTATTTTTCCCCTTCCGAACGGCGAAACCCTAAAATTCCGAAGTCAACCCAAAACCTCGAATCCAATCATCTCCGCGATCAAAGCAATCAAACTCATTCACAAAGGCTATTCCGGTTACTTAGGGGATATTCTGAAATCCGAGTCCGATCCTCAAGCCCAAATTTCCGACATTCGAGTTGTCCAAGAATTTCCCGACGTATTTCCCGATGACATTCCCGGACTTCCGCCCGATAGAGAAATCGAGTTCGAAATCAATCTTATCCCCGGAGCTACACCAATTTCCAAAACCCCGTACCGTATGGCCCCGATGGAATTGAAGGAGCTGAAGGACCAAGTTCAAGAATTGCTCGACAAGGGTTATGTCCGACCCAGCCATTCCCCGTGGGGCGCACCGGTTCACTTTGTCAAGAAGAAAGACGGATCCCTCCGCCTTTGCATTGATTACCGTGAACTCAACAAAATCACAATCAAGAATAAGTACCCTCTTCCTCGAATCGATGATCTTTTCGACCAACACCAAGGCTCATCGGTCTTCTCAAAAATCGATCTCCGATCCGGTTATCACCAACTCAAAATCAAAGAATCCGATATCCCCAAAACGGCTTTCAGAACCCGATATGGCCATTATGAATTCGTTGTCATGCCCTTCAGTCTAACCAACGCACCCGCAGCTTTCATGGACCTTATGAACCGAGTCTTTCACCAATACTTGTAGCAGTTTGTAATTGTCTTCATCGACGATATTCTCATATACTCCAAAACACAAGAAGATCATATGTCCCACCTTCGCACCGTACTCCAAACTCTCCGATCGCACCAACTATACGCCAAGTTCAGCAAATGCGAGTTCTGGCTTTCGAGCGTCGCTTTCCTTGGTCACATCGTTTCAGAACAAGGAATGTCCGTCGATCCTAACAAGATAGAAGCCGTGTCGAATTGGTCAATTCCGAAGAATGCAAAGGAAATCCGAAGTTTCATTGGACTGCCCGGCTACTACCGCAAATTCGTGAAAGATTTCTAGAAGCTTGCCTCCCCACTCACCCGATTAACTCGAAAAGACGTCAAGTACCAATTGACACCCGAATGCGACGCTAGTTTCACCGAATTAAAGGCTCGACTCACCTCGGCACCAATTCTCGCACTACCAGAGAAAGTTGGAGAATTCATAGTCTACAGTGATGCCTCGAAATTAGGTTTGGGCGCCGTACTCATGCAAAATGGGAAGTCATTGCCTACGCCTCACTTCAACTCAAAGAGTACGAACGTAACTATCCAACGCACGATCTCGAATTAGCCGCCGTCGTTTTCGCACTCAAGATTTGGCAACACTATCTCTATGGTGAAAAGTGTACCATCTACACCGACCACAAGAGTCTGAAATACTTCTTCACCTAGAAGGACTTGAGCATGAGGCAACGAAGATGGCTCGAACTAGTCAAAGATTACGACTGCGAGATACTCTATCACCCCGGCAAAGCAAATGCGGTCGCCGACGCACTTAGCCGCAAATCGATCAACGCTCTCGTCGTCCAACCCAACCTGGGAGAATCGATCAAATCAGCCCAACAAAATGACCCGCAGATTCTCAAAATTCGCGATAACCTCGAATCCAATCCAAACTTCCGAATCTCCATAGAAGGTCTCGTTCGATTCCAAAATCGCATTTACGTCCCCGATGATCCAAACATTCGACGACTAATCTTAACCGAAGCTCACCAAACCACGTACACCTCTCATCCCGGAGAAACCAAGATGTACCAAGATCTAAAAAATTTGTACTGGTGGCCTGGAATGAAGAAAGACGTGGCCCGATTCGTCGCCGAATGCCTAGTGTGCCAACAAGTCAAAGCGGAACATTAAAGGCCCGGAGGTCTACTTCAATCGAACCTAATTCCGGAATGGAAATGGGAAGCTATCACAATGAACTTCGTGCAAGGATTTCCGAAGACCCTAAGGGGATCCGTCGCCATTTGGGTGATCGTTGACCGGCTGACCAAAACGGCTCACTTTCTTCCAATCCGAATGACGTTCAGTTTAGAGAAGCTAACCGAACTATACGTCCGAGAAATAGTCCGACTCCATGGTGTCCCCGTCTCCATTATTTCCGACCGAGACCCTCGATTTACGTCAAAATTCTGGAAAAGTTTACACGAAACCCTAGGAACGCGATTAAACTTCAGCACCGCCTATCACCCCCAAACCGATGGCCAATCCGAACGAACTATCAAAACCCTAGAAGATCTTCTCCGCGCTTGTATTCTCGACTTTGGAGGAAATTGGGAATCCCGCCAACCCTAAAACCCGAAACTAACATTTCTAACTCAAGAATCCTTAGGTAATATTATTACGTGATATTAATTATGCATTACGTGAATTTAATTATGTGACTTACGCGAATAATTACGTGCGTTATTATGTGGTGATTTCACGGGATTTATTTTGTGAAATTCGTGAGTATATATATATATATATATATATATATATATATATATATATATATGTGTGTGTGTGTGTGTGAATTATGTGATTTAATATAATTTTCGTAAATTGAAATTTTAGGAATTTCGTGAATTACGTGACTTATGTGAATTATATTGTGATTATATATATGTACATACATTCACATATATACATGCATACATAATTACATGCATACGTATATACATTTTCATACGTACATATACATACATATATACTAATACTTGCATTCTATATTTGAGTATATTTACACACACATATATATATATATATATATATATATATATATATATATATATATATATATATATATATATATATATATGTATGTGTGTGTGTGTGTCCGAATTGTGTGTGTGTGTGTTGTTATGCAAGTTGTGTTATTTTAAATAAATAAATTAGTGATAATTGTGCATGCCTTTACACTTGGCAAAATGCTAATTATTTTCACTAATCCTACACTCCACCCTACTTAGTAAGATGAAGAGACACCCTTCATCTTTCTTCTTCCATCACCTCAACCCTTTACTTGTCTTCTCCTCCTCTCTCCACCGAAGCCATCACCACCACCATCGGCCTTCTCCTTCTTCCACCTCACCTCCAAATTTTCAAGAAAATGAAAAATAAAAATTAAGGTCCCCTATTTAAACCTTGCTATAGACTACTCCAAAAACACCATTAAAACTACTTGCCTCCTTACGGGAGAAAACAACTCATCCCTCCTTGAAGCTCACACCATTTCATTCACAATCAAAGTAGCTTGGTTAGATTTTGGTGCTTGAATCCTCTCTTCCTTCGGTTGTTTTCTTTTCTTCGATTTTAAGGTAAGAAATTCCGATTTCTTGCTGCAATTAAATGGCGTCAATAGTATTAAAATGGTTTTCAAAATTTTCTAAAAGATTGGGAGTGATTTCGAAAATTTAGGGCTTTTTGGGGAAAAATGGAAAAGTGTTTAAAGAATACAACTTTTATTGGCCAAAAGAATTGAAAATTTCGGATTTCAAAAAGGGGTTTCAAGAAAAATGAATTTTTGAACTTTTATGGGGTTGCATGTGTAGATCTTCAAAAGTTTTGGGTAAAATCTGTAATTTTTGAGAAGTCAGTCCTAAATGTGTTTTCAAAACTGTTTTCCAGCGTTTATTGAACAAAAATTTTGGATTTAAAGGAGTTTTGTAAGAAAAAGTGATTTTTGAACTTCTAGTGGTCTTGCATGTATAGATCTAGAGATTTTGGGGTAAAATGTGTAATTTTCGAAATTTCTGCATAAAGTAACTTTTCAACTTCGTTTTCTGCATCTAATAGAGTAAAATTTCAGATTGTTAGGGGTTTTTCATGAAATAGTGGATTTTGAACTTTTAGTGTGGTTGCATGTGCAAATCTTGAAACTTTTGGGTCAAAACTGCAATTTCCGAAAAATCTCTCATTTCTAGAGCTGAATCTGTGTTTCCAGCAAGTATTAAATGGGGAAAATTTTTCTTTACAAAGTTTTCAAAGTAATCAAGGTCACATGAGAGTTTTGGATATTTTAAAAGAAAAATGGAATTTTCGAGTTTTTAATTTCAAGAAAATTCGAAACTTTGTGAAAATTTAAAATAATTTCAGAAATTAGAATTTGGATCAGTTAGGAGTTTTAGGATTTAATTTGAGAATTTTTGGAATTAGTTTGCTATTATTTCGAAATTAGGACAATTTGCATGTCATTTATTATGTTTTGTACTTTTATTTTAGGGAATATTAGCCATAACCCCCTCTACTGTTTTTTTAATAAGGGGGGATCCAGCCATATTTTCAATATTAGTAGAAAACCCACTATTTTAATGATTCCCGAAAATAGCCTTCTGAAGACACACATCACAAAATCCGGAAATTCACAAAATCCGGAAATTTGAGATCCCTACAATCGTGTGTGATTGATTATATCCCAAAAAAATCGCTTTCCAAATCTTTCCATAAACTGCCATCTGCAAACTATAATTTTTTTTATATAATTTAAATAAATTTAAATTTTCGTTTTTTTTATTATTTTATTTAAAATCTAACAATAATAGCTTTAAAATTTTTATTTTTTTTTTAATTTGTAATTTAAAAAATATTTTAATTTTTTTTAATTTTTTTTAATTTCAGTTTTTTTGTTAATCAACTATAAAGATTCATAAACCAACTATAATATTTCCGAAATCGACAATAATTTTGATTTTTTTTCTTTCATTTTTCTTAATTTTAATTTTCAGTTATTTTTGGAATTAGAAAACAACTATTTCTTTTCCATTTTTTAATAAAAAACATATATTAATTGTAAAACAACTATTCAAAAAACTACAAAAACCTATTGAAAACAACTAAAAATAGCAGAATAACGAAAACAACTAAAACAAATAGTCGAATAAGGAAATCAACTATAAAAATAGCAGA